GTTCTTTGCTTTGAGACGCCTCCCACAAGACTTGGCTGTGCTTGGCTGGTTCCTCCAGCAGCTCCTGCACTCAGCTTCTGAGCAGGCCTTGCTTGGAGAGATGACTAAATGGGGGCTGCCTGCCTTCACTCATGAACCTGAATTTAAACTCGCCTTCCCTCTCCTTGCCTTGTGAGATTTCTGCACAGCCTCCTAAGTATGTCTTTCCAGTGGGTGAAGCTGAAGATGCAGAGAGCCCCGGGTATGGCTGAGGGCCACTTTAGGTAGATACATTCTGACTTTTAAATTAAGAAAACAGAGTACCAGAGCCAAAGCAAAAGTCACTAAAATAATGACACAACGGCACACTTGGAGTGGCATTTGCTTTCTCCTGAGCAATAATAATACTTTGAAACTGTCTTGAAGGTCGTTGGCTAGGGGCAAAGAGATTTGGAAAGGCAGGAGACAAATTTAGAAATATATTCTATGACTAGGGCCCTTTATAGAAAAGCTAAAAGGGTGAATTGATAGGATTCTTAAGAAACTGACATTTTTAAAATTAAAAAGTAAGTTGCTATAGTATTTAAACCACTTATATGACATTTCTACATAATTTCTTAACAGAGCCCAGCATTCACAATGGTGAGGAACAGACTTTCCCAGGCATTTTACTGAATAAGGGATAAAATACTGGCTTGGCCTTTGCTGCTAGCCTGCTTGGCACAGCTTCGCTGGGCCCCTGCCCGACTTTCCCAAAGAGCACAGCACTTGGAGGCACTCTCTTAATTGAATAAAACTTCAACAAGTTGTCAGTAAATTTCTGCTTATTTGGAATTTAGAAATGAATTCACATGATGCATATCCTCTGGGGTCACATATCTAGAAGATGGGAAACTTTAGCCCAGGAAACATCTTATCACAGATACTGGGTTCCTTCAGGTCTGGGTTATACAGTGTACTAACAAGAAAAATCAATGTTCCGAAAGTCAGAACAGTTGTAAAATCTTGATTTCCAGATTTCTGCATTTGGTCATCAACTACTCAATTACTCAAACCTGGTTATTTACAGCAAAAGAAAGAAACAAACAAAAACAACCATGAAATTTCTTTCAGAACCTTGGAAATAAGGTTATCAATGAGAGTTAGCTATTAAAATCCACATGAAATGGATAAGATTAATGGACATCTGTGAGGAACTAGTAACATATCTGCTCTTAACAAATCTTTGACAGGCTTGAAAGAATTAAGAAGGGTTAGGGAAAGGGATTCAAAGAGCAGGAATTTTAGTCTGGAACTATCCAGGGGAAAGCGGTGCTTGGTGGTAGTAGTAGCAGTACTGTTAGCACAGAAGAATAGAAGCAATGGGAGCAGTTAAAGGTTAGAGCTACATGCCAGCTGAGGATGGTGACTTGCACGTGGATACATGATGGAAGTGGAGATGGAGTAAGGTGGATAGATCCAAGATTTATTTTAGAGGTAAGTTTCAAGGGACTTGGTAAGAGATTGGCTCATAGGAGTTGAGGAGAAGATAGTGGAAATGTTGACTCCCAGATTTCTGCATGGTTAACTGGATGGATAAAATGCCATTATCTGATATAGGCAACACTGAAGGAGGAGGAGTAGATTTGGGGGAGAGGTCAGGCAGGTAATATTAGATAGGCCAAGTTTGAGATGCCTGTGAAATGACCAAGTGATATAAAGGCATGTTTGATATAAGGGCCTGGGAAAGTCTAGGCTTGAAAAGTCTAGGCTAAATTTGGAAATCATTGGTATATAGACTGCATTTAAAGCAATAAGAGAGAGTGAGATAAGTTAGGGAGAGGGTAGAATAAAAAGAGAGAGACAGCTCATGTCTAAGCTCTGAGCATCCAACATTAAGGGACCAGGAAAAGAAATAAGAACCAGCAAAGGATGCTGAGAATAAGTGAAGGCATACTAGGAATAGGCAATGTTTTAAGAAGGAAATAGCCAACTATTGAATACTGATGGAAACCAATAAGTTGTCAAAGAGGTCACTGGTGATCATGGAAAAATTTTTGGTATGAGGGTATGAGAAGGAGACATATTGGGTTGGGATCACTGATCCATTCATTCAGCAAATATGTAATAAGTATGACATGCCAGGTACAAGGTGTTGGGGATACAGTGAACAAAACAGACATAACCTCCACTCCAGGGAGGGGAAGGCATTAAATAGATAATCAGAAAAATAATGACTCAACCATAATTACGATAAGCGCTCTGAAGAACTTGTATAACAGGGGAGCCCTGTCCAGTGAAAGCAAGGGAAAGCTGCCCCAAGGAAGTGATATATAAGCTGTACTTGAAAGTTTTGGGTGGTCACAGCAGTGAGGCAAGGGAGAGAGAGCGTGTGTGTTCCAGGCTGAAGAAACCACACACATGGAGTCCTAGAGGGAGAGGAAACTTATCATTAAAAGTCAGCAGTGTGGGGCCGGCCGAGTGGCACGATGGTTAAGAACTGGCTTGGGACGCCAGAGAGTCCCGGTTCGGATCCCACATATGAGGGCCAGTGACACTGCCCTCTATAGCTAAGATGCTGAAAAACAGCTCAACCTGGAATTGGGCTGCCCTGAGTCACCGAGGACAGCATAGGCTGCAGCCCCTGCTGCAGTGGATTGCCATGGGCTACCGTGTGTAGCCAACAGCCAGTGTGAGTGGCCAGCAGCCAGCGTGAGCAGCCAGAAGCCTCCAAGAGCAGATATCCTGAAGCCGGTGACTGATCTGACTCGCCCGGGAAGAGCGCAATGATGGTGGCAACTTGGGCCAGTGAAGCAACGACCTCCACAACTAGACGGAAGAACAAAACGACAGCAATTTGTCTGTTCCCCTTCCCCCAATTCCCCAGCGCTGTTCCTATCCCCCAATTCCCCAATTAAAAAAAAATCTTTTTTTTTTTACATGCCACGAGGTGTGTTTTATTTTCATTAATCATACAAATAATTTTCTACAATATCCCAGGGCAAACCGGAGAATTTGACCGTCCGATTGGGGGGAGGTCCCTTCAGAGACCCACAGGCCGATGGCATGGGCATGGAGTGCCCGGGTTCACAGCGCAGCTTGTCGCTCGAGTCCATCTTGCAGGTGGCTCCTTCTCCACTTCAGGACTGGAGTCTCTAAGATGACGGGGGTGAGGAGTCCTCCAGGTTCTTAAGAAATTTCACTCCGTTTCTCCTGCTCAATGGTCTCTTTGGTCGGCAGGGTGTTCTTCTCCTGCATCTCCGTCTTCTTCAGTTTGGCCTTATCGAAGCTGGCGATTTCCCCCATGTCGGGCTTGTCTGCCATTTTCTTAAAACAATCCTTGGTCTTTACTCGGAGCAGAGGTTCCTGGATACCGCTTGCGTCGCTGCAGCAAGAGACCAAAAAAAAAAATCTTTAAAAAAAAAAAAAAGCTGTGTGGCAGGGCAACAGTAAACAAAGGGACCCTTTGGGTATACATAGGTCTTCTAGTGTTTCACATTTTTAGAAATGTAGGAGTGCAAGAAGAAATGTAGTGAGAATGCCTGTGGCTGAAGATCTTAAGGAAAATGCTGGAAAACAACATTTCTCCAAGATGAGGAGTTCTCTCTGAGGTGCAAAGTCCATTTCTGCAGCAAGAACAGGGAACATAGATAGCTTGGTGGTAGAAGCTCCCAGACTGGTTTGGTTCTGAGAATCAGAGAAGATAGATTTGAATAAGAAATCCCGTTGATAGGCCTTACTTGCAGGAGGCAATGGAGAGGAGCAGGCAGGTTGTGGCATGATCAGCCTGACAGCTGCCTATCTTTGTGGCTGGGAGAAGTAAGAGCTAAAGGAGCTCTTATAGATAGCATGGGTTATAGGGGAAATTCCTGTTAGTCTAGAACTCAGATTTGTCCTTTTTCCTTCATGTCATGCCTGCAAATGGCTGGTTCAGGAATAATTCACCTTATTCAGAAATTAGTTATCAATAAAGTGCCACAATAGGAACCATACAAACATGATACAGAGGGAAAAAGGAAGAAAGGAAGAGGAAAAGAAATGCAGACTAAGAACATTCACCAGGAAAATATTGCTGAGAAGCAAATGAAACTTGTGATCAAACTCTTTGCCATAAAACTGGAGAAGGCATTCAATACGGAAGCACTCCACGTTGAGGGAAAGGGTGGGTCAGTGTGGGGGTGGGGGTGGGGAACACAGGTGTGGTAGCCTGAGTGGGATGAAAAGGGCATCCTTACAGGGCAATGGTAGTAATACAGGGTGTCAAAGCCCTAGAAGGGTGAGGAGGAGTCCATATGGGGGGAGCACAGCTCAGTGTAGGATGAGGGAGACTGAATATGATGAAGAGGATAACGACAGGGAAGGGCCAGTGTGGGGTGCAGTAACCTGGGTAGCCTGGGGACAGATGAGGAGGCAGCCACAGAGATGGGAGATTGGTACATACAGGGAGGTTGGTTAAGTAAATATGTCAAGGATGATAGGAGAGAGGTTCCTCACTGTTGGAAAAGGGAGGTACAAATATGGAAAGAGAAATACAGAATGAAGCCTGTGTGGTGTTGCATAAAATTGAAGGGGTTAGTGTAAACTCATGGTTTTCAATATAGATACAGATGTAGAAATATAGTTATAAATATCTGTGTTCACATACACTTCATAGCTCTGCCTACTGAAAGCGCTTGGGAACAATGATACCTGACAGCAAAGAGCCCATCTAGCACACAAATCTTGGTTTCTGAATACTATTCTCCACTAAAAGAACTAGGGCTCCTTGAAGAAATGACTTAATCTAGGGCTGGGACAGGAAAAGTACAAGATGAACCTGATAAATCTTACTGTGCTATAAAGTAAGGAAATATTTCAAGAGCGATGGGACACCTCAAAGGTATATGGGAAGTGGTGTGGAACTTCCATGCCATCTCTAGGCATGCCACTCTCCCAGCACCTCCATGTGTTCACCAGTCAGGAAGCTCTCCAAACCCTGGCCTTTTAGGTTTATATGGAGATTTCATTACATATAAGGTCTGATAACTAAGTTCATGAACTTGTTGCAACAATGTTGCTAAACTTTTTTGATATCAGAGGGATTATTCATTATGAATTTGTACCAAGTGGACAGTTAATCAAGTTTACTATTTGGAAGTGCTTTAAAAGGCTGCGTAAGAAAGTTAGACAAAAATGACCTGAACTTTTTGCCAACAATTCATGGCTCTTGCATCACAACAATGCACCAGCTCACATGGCACTGTCTGTGAGGGAATTTTTAGCCAGTAAACAAATAACTGTATTGGAACATCCTCCCTACTCACCTGATCTGGGCCCCAATGACTTCTTTCTTTACCTGAAGACAAAGGAAATGTTGAAAGGAAGACATTTTGATGACATTCAGGACATCAAGGGTAATATGACGACAGCTCTGATGGCCATTCCAGAAAAACAATTCCAAAATTGCTTTGAAGGGTGGACTAGGCGCTGGTGTCGGTGCATAGCTTCCCAAGGGGAGTACTTTGAAAGTGACTATAGTGATATTCAGCAATGAGTTATGTAGCACTTTTTCTAGGATGAGCTCTAGAACTTAATTGTCTGACCTCATAGTTATGATTGATTAAATCATTGGCTATTGGCAATTGCTTCAACTTCCAGTTCATCTCTCCTCCCCAGAGGTCAGGGGTAGGGGAGTGGGACTGAAAATTCCAATCTTCTAGTCACATGATTAATTCTCCTGGCAACCAGCCCTCACCCTTAGATGCTTTCTAAAAGTTACCTCATTAACATAACAAAAGACACCTGTTTTACTCTCAACACTTAAGATATTCCAATAGTTTTTGTGGACAAAGACCAAATATATATGGCAAATATGTTTTGGTCATCTGAATAACCAAATATATATTTCTTATAAATCACAATATTATAGCATTATATAAAATAATATGAGAGAACTAAGATCAAGTATGTGTCAATTTGATAAATATAAAGGGACAGGGGTGGCTGGGTGGCTCAGTTAATTAGAACGCATGCTTTGAACAATGAGGCTGCCAGTTCGATTCCTACATGGGCTCATGAGCTGTGCCAGAGCTGCACCGGAGCTGGTGAGAGCACATGCTCTTAACAAGACTGCATTTTGGACTCCTGCTAGGGATGTTCCTCTCTTCCCCTCTCCCCACCCCAGCAACTAGATTGAAAGCAGTGACTGGACTTGGAGCTGAGCTTGCACCCTCCACAACTAAGATTGAAGGACCACAACTTGACTTGGAGATGATGGGTCCTGAAAAAACACAATGTTCCCTTTCCCCAATTCCCCAACACTGTTTCCCTCCCCAATTCCCCAATAAAATCTTTAAAAAAAAAAAGAGGATGGAATCTCAATTCTATAATTTATCAGCTATGTAATTTTGAACAAGTTCAGACAAGACTTAGTGTCAAGTTTTCAGCTTTAAAATGAGAATAACTAGCTAGTCCATAATGTTCACTTGTGGACTCAATAAGACAATATTTATACGGCAATATGTTTTGCTTACAACCCAAAGTATCCTCACACTTAGAATAAAATCGGTAAGACCCAAATAAAAGGGATGAGCTCAGACACCAGTAGAAATGACAGACAAAGGGATTATTTGTGAATGTATAATAGATGAGTCTCAGGAATACCCAGAACAAATTAAAGTGGCATGGGTAATATGGACTGGATGAGACTACAATAGATTATGTTAGGTTTAAATTTAATCAATTGCATAATGTGGGAAGAAAAAATGTGCTGGCAGAAGGGATACTTGGCCTCCAAAATCACCCTGGAAAGACAGTTTCCTGACCTAAGAACATGAGGAGTTAGTCCCAACAATGAGGACATCCTGATAACAGACAGGGAGGCTTCAGGTCACCAAGGCAGTGTGTCACCAGCCTGTGCTGGAACCATCCAGTACCTCCCCTCCCCGCCCCCTGGTTTTATGCTCACTGGGCAACCTTTGGCTTCCACAAACATTTGCTCACAAGAAGTGGGGTGTCACTGATGAACCAACAGTGCATCCATTCAATTTCTTTAGTGATGTATGTGTGGAAATCTAAAAACCCTCAGCCCAGGACCTTGGCCATCTCACTTCCCCTAGTGCCTTGGAGATGCTAGTGAGGATACTTAGATTACTTATTGTAGTTTCCATCTTTTCCTCCCACCCCAATCTAGTTAGGTTATGTGGCAATAAGGAGGGGAAATGAGGCTTTGATGGTTCAGGTTTCTGAGTGGCTGCTATGTGATTCATCAAAGATAAGGCGTGATGGTGAGTTCTCAAACTTACCAAGTACTAGTACTTATCCATTCTGAAGAAAAATAGGCTCATTATGAGATGGTTTAATTTTTAGGTGCCCACTTCTGATTTTTTTTCTTTCATGTTTTAGAGAAAATCTTATATTAACCAAGCTCTTTCCTCTCCTTGCCAAGTTCTAAGCCTATCTTTTCTTCACTTTTACCATGTTTCATTATTTCCCAGGAAGACAGTACCACCATCACATACCTTTATTTTCCTGCATCTTTCCATCACCTTTGTTTTCCTTCACACAGTGCTTTTCCCCACCATCACCCGGAATGCTTATCACTTTGACCTTTTGGATACCTCTCTTCATAGTTGATTTCCTGGTTTGACTTTCTCTTGTTGAATGATGTCCATCTCCTACCCATCCACATGATATGCTGAGTTTAACCACGGTCCTATCATGCCAGAAAGACTAGAACATGTTGCATTAACAAAATCCCATTTATTCTTCATGGAACAAAATAAGATCTTTTCCTGAAGAGTAGTTGTTCTAATAATCTCCATGTGTCCCCGATCAATAGACTAACTGAACTTTAGATGGTGAAATTAAACTTCTCTACTTCTCTATCTCAACTCACCCCTCTCACTATGTCAAGTCTCTAAGGGTTGGCAAAAAAAGATGTAGATTCTGTTCTGTTTGATCAATATTGTTTTCACTTAATTATCTTTATGGTTTCTAGCTTTGACAGTTAAATCAACAACACTGATTCATTTTCAGTATGTACAGAGCACCAACCCACAAAGGAAAGTACATGACATACTCCCAGTCCTGAATGAGACAACAGTCAAGGGGGAAGGACCTCCCCTCCCCAAGAAAACATGCACCAACTCAAATGACTCAAATAAAAAAGTTGGGTGGCTTCACTGTTGCTGCAATAATAGGTGTGCTCCCTAAAGCCAGCCTATCATAGAGGCTAAGAGTATGGGCTCTGGAGTTAATCTCTTGAGTTGGAATTCCGTTTATTATCTGGTTTTACACAACTACTTAAGCTCTCAAACCTCTTATCTATAAGATAGGGATAAATATAGTTTCTACCTCATAGGATTGTAGTGAGGATTAAATTAAATAATATAATGAAGTGCTTTGCACAGTAA